CAAATTGGGCTCATTTGGTGGTTTCCTTTTCAGTTACCAGGTTGAGCAGAAAATGGTGTGAGTGGCAAGAACCTCCCACAGAGAAGCCCAGGGTATAGGGCAAGGTACTGAGAAAGGCTTGTTGCAGCATTGTGGATGGAGATCCAGCTGAAGACACTGGAGACAGGAGCGGTGATCGCATGTTCTGAGTGCTTTACATCCACCCCATGCAGTGAATAGGAGAGAAGGTGCAGCAAAACTAGCAGATTACTCCTAGTGGTTGATGCTGTGATCTTTTTTTTTTTTAACTGATTTTTTAAAAAGTTATTTATTTAATAACCATATAATTAGAAGAAGCATTTCATGACAACAGCATTGACATATTCAATAACAATTTCCAGAGCTAAGGTGCATCTTTTTCAAGATTGACTGTAAATTTTTAGGTTTACAGTTGAATTAATACAGTCATACAATTTTGAACTCAGTATAAACCCTGTAAAATATAAAATTGAATGAGTTTTTACCCTTTAAAGAAGATCTCCATTTGATGCTGTAATCTTGTGAAACTTTCTTAGGGTTGAGACCAGGCTTCTGTGGTATAATCCATACACTGCCTTTTTGCTATTTTTGCAAATGATTAATATCAGGAAAACATTATTATGAATTTTATCCCTGTTGTATACAGGATAGATCTGAGGATATGTTTCAGAAGTAGTTTTTTGATTAAACTCTGAGTTAGACAAAATTGGAACAATTGCTAAGAGTTGGTTAGACATACCACTGGTGTTTTATAAATTCCTATTTTCTCAGTTGTCATGGGTATGCTTTTTTTGTATTTTAATATTCCAAAGTAATGTACATTTAATATGGTAGCATTTCTCTTCAGAAATTCATTAGAGGGGGCAAGAGAAATGGCTCAGCAGTTAAGAGCACATACTGCTCTTCCAGAAGACCCAAATTCAGTTTCCAGCTCCCACATCAGATGGTTCACAGCTCCAGGGAATTTGGTACTTTCTTCTGGTCTCTGAGGGTACCTGCACTCACAAGCACCACCACCCCATATAATTAAAAATAAGATAAATCTAAAAAAAAATCCATTTAAGGTTTGCCTTTTAATCAGTGTGTGAAACTAGAAAGTTACAGTAACAGTTGACAGTTTTTTGCTAAAATTTCTCTTACCAGTGTGCCAGCCACAGCTCTCATACATACCCATCTGTACTGACAGCTAGTAGCTATGATTGGATTGTTATAGGTTCTGTGACCCAACTTTGTACCCTTCCTTTTAGACTTCCTGGTAGAATATCTTGATTACTCAGAGACATGTTTTGCTAATTTAAGAGAAGCAGGTAGTTGAAGGAATAGACTTAGTAAATAATCTCATTGGAGCATGTGCAGTGTTGAAACTTGAAAGGTCAGTGCTGATTAATCTTTGTTGCATAATAAATTCATAATGTTGTAAAACATTGTTTTACTTGGCAAACAGTCCTTAACTTTTGTTTTAATGTTCTTCATCTGTAAGTGGAATCGTACTTGTAATTTAATATATTGTTTGATGATTCATAGTTTTGGATCTGGGGCTCAGAAAATCTGAACTGAACTACACTGTCAGCAGCGAGGGGGCAGACATACCTCTGTGCTGTCACCCTTAGCAGCCTGAGTTCCCTTGATCTTTTAGGAACCTCAAGTCCAGCCAGATGGGGACTCATGGCTTTAACACAGAAAAGAATTTCAAACATAGCCAGTTTGAAGCAGAGTTGGAGATTTTATTAAAGATATTTTGAGAGGTGCAGGAAGTAAGACATACCCAAATGTGGATATGGGCTTCTCCAGTGAATTGTTGTAGCATTAGCCACATACACTATTTTGGTAGCTCTCAAGTTAGATCTCAAAGGTAAGAAACCTTTTTTATACATTCTCTCTCTTGATAAGCGAGATTATAGGGTGGCTTTAGAGATACCTTTGATGGAGTTATAATCTGATAAAGTAAAACCAGAAGCCACTAGGGGCTACACAAAGGGTTTAGTACATGTCCTTGTCCTGGAAATGGGGTTTCTAGTGAGAATCCTAGAAAACTGCAGGTTTACAGCTGGGAGGGGAAAAAGGCCTTAAGCAGTTGTTGGTTGTTCTGGAATTTGTGCTTTGGTGGCAGGAGGCTTCAACCAGACAGACTCCTGGTTGAGGCTCTTCTCCCTTCTTATGTTCCCATAATTTCCCCCGTGTTTCTGTCCTGCCTCATTTACAGAGTTGTTAAGATCAGAGCCTGGGCCCTGACAGCCAGAACAAGGCCATGTTTGACCTGCTTGTACTCAGTAGGCAAATTAGAGAGAGAAAGAGAGAGAGAGAGAGAGAGAGAGAGAGAGGAAGAGAAGAGAGGGAGGGAGGGATTTTTGAGGGAGGGAGGGAGGGAGGGAAGGAGCAAGGGAGCTAGGGAGGGAGGGCAAAAAGTGGAAATAGTTTTATTCAATGTAGTTACATTGGGAAGAGGAACAAAGATGGTCTGGTGACTCCCCTTTCTTCCCCTCAGTCCATCTTTTGAAGTCCTGACATGAGATTTAGGTTTAAATAGAAGGCAAGAGTTGTGCATAACTGAACTGTCCTGGGCAAGGTTGGTTCTGCCCATCACTGACCCATCATTGCTTGGGCTCCAGTCTCTCTTGCAAAGTGGTCTGACAAGTTGTCAGAACTATGTGAAATCTTCCTGGGAGATAAAGTCTTCTTTTTGCAAGTACCAGCTTCATCCTTTTTCTTCTCCCTGTATGAGATTCCCAGGAAACTCCTATTTCTTGGAAACCATTTTTTTCAGTAGTCTGGTAGCCAGAGGGAAGGGCACAAGTGTCTACTTAGAACATCTTCCCTGCTTATAGCACTTCCTAGAACAGTGTGGTTTTGTTTTGTGACACAGTCTCTTTATATAGCCCAGCCTAGGTTCAAGTTTGCCATCTTCCTGTATCAGCCTGCCACATACTAGAATGGGATACATTTTATTTTGAGACAGGGTCTCACTATGAAGTCCTGGTTTGCCTGGAACCCATGTAGACTAGGCTGGCTTGGAACTCATAGAGATCTACTTGCTCTTCCTTCTGAGTACTAGAATTAAAGGTATGCACCACCATGCCTGTCTTAAGTATATATTTTGATAGTGAAACTTGAAAGTTATCACAGTGCCATTCAGACACCATTAGGCATTAGTGCAGTCTTCACAGGTTAGGGTCACATTTCATATTAAGACTGTCTCTCCCAGGCTAGAGAGATGGCTCAGCAGTTAAGAGCACTGGCTGCTTTTGCAGAGGACCCAGGTTCAGTTCCCAGCACTCACATGACAGCTAATAACTGTCTGTAACTCTAGCTCCGGGGGATCTGACACCCTCTTCTGACCTCCATGGGTACTGCATGAGACAAGTGCACTTACACACATGCAGGCAATACACTCATACACATAAAATATCTTTTTAAAAAAATGAAATGTATTTAGATACTTAAGTGACAATTGAATTTATTCTTATAATTGTTTTAATAGCTTTTGTATAATCTTCATTGCTATTATGAGATATAAACTGTATTTATCAAATCTGTAATCATTATGCCAAAAAATCTGAATTACTGTAATATTTTGTATATTGTTAAAACTATAACTTTAATTGTAAAAAAAAATTTTAAATAAAAAAAATGAAATGTAGTCTATTAAAGAAGAAGGGAAAGGCATTCCTGAGAACCGATGTGAGTGAGATATCTGGGACAGGTCCAAGGACCCTGTATAGATCATCACACAGCACAGCCTTCTCCCACATAGGGAGATCAGCATGCTGTTTTGTTAAATGTCACCTACAGTCAGTCTAGTCTTCTGAGAACTGACTTCTTTTGTATGTTAGTCTTGATGCCTTCCACTCTGCATCCTACCCTCCTGCCCCAGTTCTGTGCTGTTATTTCAGAGTTGTGTAGCCAGCATTCCTACCAGGACCACAGAGGAACATATTCACTCCATCCCTGCCTTATCTTGGTCTCTGGAAACCAATAATCTTACCTCTTATCTCCATAGGTCATTTATTTTTGAGGATCTTACAGAAATGGAATCATTCTAGGAATCTTTTGAGATTGGCTTTAAAAAGTCACTAAGCACCATGTCTCCATCTAAGTTGTTCAATGTCAGTATCAGTAGTTTTTTTCCTTTTTATTGCTGAGTAGTGTTCCATGGTATGGATGTACTAGTGTTTGTTTAAACATTGACCCATTCTGGGACATTTGTGTTGTTTGCAGTTTGTGGTATTAGCAGTAATGCTGCTATGAAGAATTAGAAGTTTTTATGTGAACTTGGTTTTATTTCTCTGATATTAAAGCCCAAGAGTACAATGCTCAGATGCATATTTAATTTTGTAAGAAGCTACCAAACTTTTATAGAACACCAGTACCATTTTATCTTCCAACCAGCAGCATGAGGGCACTACTCCAGTCTTACTGGTTGTTCATTCCTTTTCTGTTGTGTTAGTGTGGTGGGTGACAGTTAAGAAGAATTTGTGTATGAAGAATTTCTGATTATACATTGGAAGTTCCTTGTGCTGGCTTAACCACTCAGGAGAACAAAATTAGGAACAGTTTGTTTGCTCTTTTGTTAACCTTGTTGGAAGAAATTAATAGTTGAAGACTGAGGTAGATTGTCACTAAATTTTCACCCTGACGGATTTGGTCATTTTGAAAACGGTTTTTTTTATTTATTATTTATTTATTAGTATGCTTTTACTTGTTCTTCAATTACTTTCTCTTTAACTCTCCTTATTCCTCTAGAAATGTTTATTGTTTCTTAAATTGTTAATAATTTATGATGCTACAGTTTCTGTTTATAATAGGATCTTACATTTTCATCTTTTTCATGAATTATAATCTGCTCTTTTTATGACTTAGAATTGTTGAAATGCCATTGCAGATTATTTAGCTGTCATCACAATAGGTGATTTCCCTAAAGAACCATACCCATACTCAGGCTTTAGAATAGTCTCTGAAATTACAGGTTTTTTTTTTTTTTTTAGGCCAAGGAAGCTATCCAAGAATTCTGTGAATAAGGCTGAGAATTGACATTGCCAGAATCCACAGGGAAGATGCCCATCTTGTTCATGTGGTGGAAGAAGGTTTTCATTCACACTTGGCTCTGCTTTCTTCTCCTTTTTCCTACTGACACCCTACCTCCCTTGAAATGTCTATTGGTTTTAATTTTTTTTTTAGATGTTATGTTTTGGTAGATTATTAGTGATGTATTGTGGATAAGTTGAGTTTCTATTTCAAGACAAACCAGGGCTTTGTCTTTGTTTTGGGATTTGGCAATTGAGAGGAAAAAGCCTTTTTATGCTATACAACAGCTGCAATCATACAGATTTAGATTGTTTTATTTTACTCAATGGAGTTTAGTTTTTTAATGGTTTCTTCATGTTATAGGGAGCAATCGGAGGAAAGTCTATTGTAAGTAGATTTCATTGTCGTAGTTAAGGGGACCTTGCTGAAGGGTATTTACAGTAGTAAGGATCTTGGTGATGAGTGACTGGATGTTAAATGTTTTGTGACTCCCACAGCCAAACTTAGTCAGGGACCATGTATCATGATTCTTGAATAGGATTCATGCATTTCTCTGTGGGTCATTTTACATAACCACTTAGAAATTGGGTATATAGTGTGGAGCAGAAATGGATATGATTTGTCCTTTCCTGAACTTCAAGTCTGGAGGAGCATCAGAAATGTTAAAGTTAAATTACATCTCTGATCGTGGTCTAAGAGTAGCCTTGAGTAATACCTGAACCAGATTGACCAGATAAAGACAACATCTTCGGGAAATTATACCTGTACTCTGATGGGAAGGAGTAGATGTTAACCTGACAGAGAGCAATGGTTGTCCAGAGGACACAGGGAGGACCTGTGTAGGAGAGTCATGACATGAGAAACCTGATTAAACCTGAGTAGTAAAAGTTAGGGAAAGGATGGTTGACTGTTGAGAGAGACCCTGTTATTGCCAGATATTTATATATCATGTTAAAATTTTGCATTCATTCTTAGAGGAATAATTGGTCACTAAAGGGTTTTAAGCAAGGAAGGACATGGTACAGAAAGACTTGCTCGTGTGTGTGTGTGTGTGTGTGTGTTGTGTGTGTGTTTGTCGGGGAGTACTTAGACAAGTTCTTTATCACTGAGCTATATCCCAGCCTAAGATTTGATACATTGTTGTTTTGAGACAGGGTCTTACTCTGTAGCGCAGACTGACCTGAAACTTACTGTGTAGCCCAGACTGGCCAGGAACTCTCAATTCTCTGCCTCTCAAATGCTGGGATTACAAGCATGTGACCTGGTCCCAAGATCTATTTTGTTTTGTTTGTGTTTTTTTTTTTTTGAGACAGGGTCTTACTATGTAACCCTGGCTCTCCTGAAACTCATCTATGTAGACCAGACTGGCCTCGAACTCACAGAGATCCTGGCTCTGCCTCCAGAGTGCTAGGAATAAAGGTATCTGCCACCATGCCAAGCTATGATTTGTGTTTTTTATGAGAGCTCTTGACTTGAAGGTAAAGTGGGTTAGAAGGGCATCAGAATGGATGTAGTTGTTCAGGTAAAAGGTGATGGTGGCCCACAAAGACAAGATTGTTGTTGGAGGAGAGGATAGAAAGGGGTGAATTAGCCAGGTGTGGTGGCACACACCTTTAATCCCAGCACTCTGGAGGCAAAGGCAGGCGGATCTCAGAGTTCAAAGCCAGCCTGGTCTACATAGTGAGTTCTAGGCCAGTTGGGGCTGAATGTAGAGTGTATGTAGAGTGTATGCATGTGTATCACATGCATGCAGGTGCTCGAGTAGGCCAGAAGAGGGCATTGGATTCCCTGGAACTGCAATTATAGGTAGTTATGAGCAGCTATGTATGTGCTGGGAACTGAACCCAGGATCTCTGCAAGAGCAATGAATGCTCTTACCCACTGAGCTATCTCTCTACCCTTAATGATTATTTTTTAATATTTACTTATTTATTTTATGTAGATGTATATGTTTGTGTGCCTGTGTGTATATATGTGCACTACATGCATGTAGGGACCTTTGGAGGTCAGAAGAGGATGTTATATCCCCAGGAACTGGAGTTATAGACAATTTTGAGGCACTTGACATGGGTGCTGGGACCCAAACCCAGGTCCTCTGGAAGAGCAGTTAAGTTCTCTTAACCTCTGAGCCATCTTTTCAGCTCCTTAATCAGTTTTTTCCTTCAAAGAATTTTTATTGAATTTTTTTTTTTTTTTTTGAGACAGTGTCTCCCTGTAACCCAGGGAGGTTAAGAGAACTCCCTGTCCTGGAGCTCACTAGGTATTGAGGCTGGCCTCAAACTCAGAGAGATCCACCTGCCTCTACCTCCCAAGTGCTGGGATTAAAGGCATATACCACCACACCTGGCCTTAATCATCTTTATATCCTACCCCTCCCCCAATTTCATGCATTCTGTTGTTTATCTTAAGGTCTATTGAGTCAAGTTAGTATGCCCAGACATCCCTCAGTGCAAGTTCATCTGCTAGGGTCTAGTCAGCCTATCTAGAGTCACTCCCTTAGAGAAGATCAGCTCTCCCACCCTCCAGTAATCAGCTGCCAATAGTTCTTTGGCTATCGGTTGAGGCCTACTGCCCATTCCCCCAGTTCTGTGGTGGGTTTTGTCTGCTTGAGTTTGCATGGGTCTTGTGCATGCTACCACCATTGCTATAGATTCATAAGAGCAAGGTCCCAGGAGCCTGTAAGATTCTGTTTCCATATGGTCATGCACCTCCTTCCCTGGCTCTTAAACCTTTCTGTCTCTTCTGCAGTGATCCCTGAGCCCCGGATGGGTGGAGTTTAATATAGGAGTCCTGTTCAAGGACCCATACTCTGCAGGCTCTTATTCTCTGCACTTTGGCCATTTGTGGCCTTTTGTGTTCCTTGCCCTCTGTTGGATGAAAGAGCTTCATTGATGAAAGTTAAGGGGATGCATTATTATTCTTTCTACCCCTTGTTCCATTGTGTTCCGTGAGCCGTAGGTATAGAAGTTCCATTGTAGATGTGCCACTTAGGGTTGGGCATTTCATGAACAATCTCTGTGTGTGACTGTTTATGGAACTCTGTAATAGTAATAGTAATAGTAATAGTAATAGTAATAGTAATAGTAATAGTAATAGTTTGTAATAGTCTTCATTTGTTGCAGAAGAAACTGCTTTGATGAGTGGTGACTGGCATACTTGTCTGTAAATATAAGGATCCATATTGAGCATATGTAAGAAATTACATTTATCTAGAGATATGACAGCCTTCGAGTTTTCCCTAAGATCTATGGCCTCTCCAGCCATGTTTATTTGGCTGTGTTTACAGTACTACACATGAGTTCTCTCCCATTTGAGTGGGCTTTAAGTCCAATTAGGTAACTGTTGATTACCCCCTAGTTAAAAGTGCCACTACTGCCCCATGTAGTTTACTGTTTACTGTGCCAGTCATTGTGGTTATTAGGTCTTTTTTTTTTTTTTTTTTTTTTTTTTTTTTTTTGTCTTTCTGAGACGGTCTCCCTGTAGCCCCAGCTGTCCTGGAACTCGCTATATAGACCAGGCTGGCCTTGAACTCAAAGAGATACTCCTGCCTCTGACTCCTGAGTACTGGGATTAAAGGTGTGTGCCACCATGTCTGGCTGGTTATTAGGTCTTAAAGCTGGGGTTGGACCATTGATTGATGTCAGCTTGCATAGCATCCTTCAAAACTGTAAGCACTGGCCTTCAGGGCAGGTGGCTTTCAGGTATTTTCCAGCTCCATTGCTCCAAGTCCTGTGTTTGAAGTATGTCCTGTCTCCAGCAATAGGGTCTTACTTTCAAGTTCTGGGAAGCAATCAAGGGCTGTAGCAACAGCCTGTGTAATTTTGGGAGTCTCTTGGACTACCCTGGCCAACAACTCTGAAGAGCAGTATCTCCTGTCTGGCACTGCTTCTTGTAATATAGCCTTCAGCTACACACATGGACCCATGTAGAGACTGTATGTGCAATTTTTCAGTATGTTTTTGAACTAATACATTTCCCTCTGGTTTTTCATACTAGCCAAGTATTATTTATCTCTCTCCTCTATGCCTGTCTAAACCCTCCCCCATTTTTCCCATTTCACCCTTGATAATACCTGTCTCCTTGGTCCCCCCTCTCTTGAACTCCTTCCCCTTTACCCCCATGGTTCCTTGTACAACCTCCCTCTTCCCCTCTCATTTAAATATCCACATTGGGGCAGGAGAGATGGCTCAGCACTTAAGAACACTGGTTGTTCTTGCAGAAGACCCAGGTTCAAATCCCAACACCCACATGGCAGCTAACAACTGTCCGTAACTCCAGTTCCAGGGGAATCTGAAGCCCTCTTCTGACCTCTGCAGCATTGCACAACAGAGGTGCACTCACATACGTGCAGGCAATACACTCATACACATAAAATAAAAATAATAAAAATATTAAATACCCACATTTTACCCAATTCCCCCCTTGGTAACACCTGTCTCCCACTGTTCTCTCTCAGGCGTCTTCTTTCCCTTTACCTCCCTGGTTCCTTTCCATTTATCCTGGGTCCTACAGTTACATCAGAATATATACTCAATGTATAAGATTTGATGCTAGGATCCACAAATGAAGGAGAACGTATGTTGTTTTTCTCAGTCTGTGTTACTTCACTTAGTATGACAGTTTCTAGTTCCATTCATTTACCTGCAAATTTCATGATTTTGTCTGTCTTTACTGCCAAGTAGAACTCTATTGTGTAAATGTACCACATTTTCATTATCCACTCGTCAGTTGAGGGACACTTAGGTTGCTTCCATCTTTTTATTTTTTGGGGGGAGGGTTCTTTTTGAGAAAGAGTCTTCCTGTAGCCCCAGGTGTCCTGGAACTTACTATATAGACTAGGCTGGCCTTGAACTCACAGAGAGCCACCTGCCTCTGCCTCCCAAATGCTAGGATTAAAGGTGTGCACCACCACTCCTGGCCCAAGTTGCTTCTATTTCTTAAACCACAGAGGCCAAGTCAGGCAGTCTCCAAAGGTCTGGGCCGTTTTTTTTTGTTGTTGTTGTTTTTTTTTTTTTTTTTTTTTTTGAATTAAAAATTAGCCAGGGGTGGGGGCACATAC